ACGCTGCTGACGTGTGTCTGGTGTGTGTGTGTGTGTGTGTGTGTGTGTGTATTCTGGTTCTGTTGTGGATCCGCGTTCAGTGCCGCCGCTGACGTAAGACGCTGCTGACGTGTGTCTGGTGTGTGTGTGTGTGTGTGTGTGTGTGTGTATTCTGGTTCTGTTGTGGATCCGCGTTCAGTGCCGCCGCTGACGTAAGACGCTGCTGACGTGTGTGTGGTGCGCCCGAGCTTCGTTTACAGTCTGAGGGAGACGCACGCTGGAAACAAAACAATCTTTGCAAACATGTCTAAGGATTTCCACACAGAGGAAGACTTGCATTTTTTTGCCCAGCCATATTTATTTGAACCCGAATACACGGACGCACCAGACACACGTCAGCAGCGTCTTACGTCAGCGGCGGCACTGAACACGGATCCACAACAGAACCAGAATACACACACACACACACACACACACACACCAGACACACGTCAGCAGCGTCTTACGTCAGCGGCGGCACTGAACGCGGATCCACAACAGAACCAGAATACACACACACACACACACACACACACACACACACCAGACACACGTCAGCAGCGTCTTACGTCAGCAGCGGCACTGAACACGGATCCACAACAGAACCAGAATACACACACACACACACACACACCAGACACACGTCAGCAGCGTCTTACGTCAGCGGCGGCACTGAACACGGATCCACAACAGAACCAGAATACACACACACACACAGCGCCGCCGCTCCCACCACGCGCATCACGCGCTGTGCGTAGGGCACCAAGTGCTGAGGGGGCACCAAAAATAGCCTAATGAAAAACCAATCATCAAACTTCTTGTTATAATCAGATTCAGCGCGTTCTTCCTCTTCATTCCGCAGCGGCGCCGAGCAGAGACAGAGAGCACGTCAGAAACACAGGACAGGGTGTGTGTGTGTGTGTGTGTGTTCATGTGTGTGTTCTTCTGAGCCTCATTGGTCTGTCACTGCTCGTCAATGTCAGAATATTTGAGATGACCAATCAAATCAAAGTAGGCGGGCTTTATGTTCACAGACGCTGAGCGCGAATTTTAACAGTGCAACTCGACGCTTCAGTGTACGGTCAAGTGCGAGATAAGATGTAAGTAGCTAAACTTAACTTTATTTGACAGGTTTTTTTAGGTCATAAATGTTAAACGAATGACAAAAAATAATTAGGCAAACTAATATAGTTTTGTCTAATTTCGCCATTTTTAACTGAAAATAGGCCTGTAACATGTAGCCTAGTGTAATAGTTTAGGCTACTGTCATTGTGAGGGGACAAGAAACATGAACAAAGCCGTTTTCATCATGTTAGGCACAGGATTTATAATGAATGTGTACATATTGAGAATAAAATACAAATTGTAACCTTTAGTAAATTAAAAAAAGCCAACTTTAGGAGGGGAAGAGACAGGGCAAGATAAAAACAAAGAGAAAAAGAGTGTGATGCTGATGAGGAGAGAAAAATAATCAGCTGCCCACTGACATGGTTTTAAAGCTGTTGTTATCGAATTATTATTATTATTATTTTTTTTGCCTTCACAACATCTTAAAATGCACATCTGTAGTTCAGAAAAATCCAAAATTTCCCCCGAACACCCCTAACTAACCTGCCTCAAATTCGGGATCCCAGTGATTATAAAACCATGCCATTGCATGGTAATGAAACTAGTTAATAGTAAACATTAGACCCTAATCTAAAGTGTTACTTTTTAGCTTTTTAATTTTTTTATAAATCATACCCTCATTGGGGGCTTAGCCCCCCAAAATGAAAATCCTAAATGAAAATGTTTTTTTTTTAGGGGGGGCGGGGGGGGCATCATAAATGAATTATGCTTAGGGCACCAAAATGGCTAGCAGCGGCACTGCACACACACACACACCAGACACACGTCAGCAGCGTCTTACGTCAGCGGCGGCACTGAACGCGGATCCACAACAGAACCAGAATACACACACACACACACACACACACACACACCAGACACACGTCAGCAGCGTCTTACGTCAGCGGCGGCACTGAACGCGGATCCACAACAGAACCGGAATACACACACACACACACACACACACACACACCAGACACACGTCAGCAGCGTCTTACGTCAGCGGCGGCACTGAACGCGGATCCACAACAGAACCGGAAGACAATACAATGCTGAATAAAGTCCTAGTTTTTGTTATTTTTGGACCAAAATGTATTTTCGATGCTTCAACACACTCTAACTAACCCACTGATGTCACATGGACTACTTTGATGATGTCTTTATTCCCTTTCTGGACAAGGACAGTATACCGTACATACATTTACAATGGAGGGACAGAAAGCTCTCGGACTAAATCTAAAATATCTTAAACTGTGTTCTGAAGATGAACGGAGGTCTGACGGGCTTGGGACGACATGAGGGAGAGTCATTAATGACATCATTTTCACTTTTGGGTGAACTAACCCTTTAATATTGAAACCCACTTTGCCTGATCAGTACATCTGTCTCACAGGACACTGTTTCCGTCCACCGGCCCAACTTCTACGCCGACCGCTTTTTCAGGTTCATGAGCAGCAGTGTGTTCAAGAAAAGCACTTGTGAGTACTGGTGCTGACTGATAGAGTTACTGTAAAGTTCACCGAGCTAATTCAATTTAAATAAGCTGACACTTAATATGGCGTGTAATGTAACAGCAGCTGTGTGTGTGTGTGCCTGTGTTTTCTCCAGCGCTGAAGGCTTCTCCTGCTAAGAAGGGTCGTGTGGCCCTGAACGTGCCCAAGTTCAGCGGCCCCGGGTCCGCCTGGTCGGCCAGTCAGTTCCCCTCAGAGCGAGACCAGAACATCTACGACCTGAGAGGAGCGCGCAGCTTCCCCGTGCTGGAAAACGATGGTACCGTTCATGCTTTTGTTCTTTCCCTGTTTATGTGTTTTTGGTCACACTTTAGATTAGGCTCCAATTCTCACTATTAACTATGACTTTTGCCTCAATAAATCCCTAATAACTGCTTATTAATGGTTGTTAAGTTTAGGTATTGGGTGGATTTAGAGATGTAGAATATGATCATGCAGAATAAAGCATTAATACGTGCTTTATAAAGACTAATAAACACCCAATATCCTAGTAATGTGCATGATAATAAACAAACAGCTTCCCCATGCTGGAAACACTTTAGATTAGGGTCCAATTCTCACTATTAATTATGGCTTTTGTCTCAATAAACCCTTAATAACTGCTTATTAATAGTTAGTAAGGTTGTTAAGTTTAGGTATTGTAGGATTTAGATATGTAGAATATGATCATGCAGAATAAAGCATTAATATGTGCTTTATAAGTACTAATAAACACCCTATATCCTAGTAATATGCATGATAATAAACAAACAGCTTCCCCGTTCTGGAAACACTTTAGATTAGGGTCCAATTCTCACTATTAACTATGGCTTTTGCCTCAATAAACCCCTAATCACTGCTTATTAATAGTTAGTAAGGTGGTTGTGTAACACTTTATTTTACAGTGTCCTTGTTACATATGTTACATGTACTTACCATAGTAATAAGAGTAAATTATGCATAAATACATGCTAACCAAACCCTAATCCTACCCTAACCCTATAGTAAGTACATGTAGTTAATTAATACCACTCAGTACTTAAATATATAATTACACTGTAACAATGACACCTTCAAATATAGTGTAACCGAGAGTTGTTAAGTTTAGGTATTGGGAAGGATTATGGGATGTAGAATATGATCATGCAGAATAAGGCATTAATATGTGCTTTATAAAGACTAATAAACACCCAATATCCTCACTATACTTATATGCATGCTAATAAACATAAAATAAATAATAAATACATTTTTATGAAACATACTTGCGACTTATATTACAATCATTTCATTTAAAAAAAAAAAAAAAAAATTATTAATTTAAAACAAATTCAACGACAGCATTTAACATGAATGAAAAGGAGCAGAAACAAAATCAAGACAAAATCAAGAGTTTGGTTCCAAAACGCAATAAATCCATTTAGATTAATTTGAGTAAAAATGTGTTTTCTTTACCAAGAAAGTGGAAAGATGAAAACCACTATTTTCTGTTTCAAACTTTCACATAGCATTTGTAGGTCATAATAACAAAAAAAATTCAAATCCAGGTTTTGATTTTCAAAGATTTATTATAAAAACTGATTATTTTTCCCCCAAAATGCAATAAATCCATTTTTTTTTAAATTCAAAATGCAATTAATCCATTGAATCAATATAAAAGTTTTTTTTTCATATTGAAACTGTTGAAAATACACAACAACGTAAGTTTATTAGTATAATATTTTTATTAAGAACTGTAAAGAAGATTGAACACATTTTTCCTCCTCCCGAGTGCCTCGTCTTCTTAATCTCCTCACGTAAATGATTCGATTTCGATGCCTTACGTTTCTCACCCGCCGCAGAAACAACCACAGGTTCATCAATGCCGGCAAAATTATTCATTTTTTTGTTTGTTTGTTGATGGAAAAGTACAAAATAGATAAGAAGAACTGGAAGCCGGGTGTATTTAAGGCGCTGCCGTTACTGTTTACATTGCGTGGAATGCTGCGTTGTGATTGGTTGAGAGCGGATATATCGCATTCTGCAGAGAAGGGAGACTGGCGTTTGTCGCGGTTTGGAAAGAAAGGGAGAAAACATGACAGAATAACACGGCGGATATCGCATTTTACTTCAAATTAAACAATACCAACCCGATACAATACTGATTTTTGCAGTAACTATTTTTTTTATTTAAAAATGGCGTTTATCGCGTTAGGAACCAAACTCTTCATTTACAGTTCCAGTTCATTTGAGCCGTCTCATGCAGCCGTCTCTTTTCCTAAGACATCAAAACACAAAATTACATCAATAAAGTTGATCTGCTACTCCGCAGTATTATATTTCTGCAACATTGATCATTTAACATACTTCTTAAACACATAAATGGACGTTTACAATCAAGACTGTTCCACAAACTGACTCCTTTGATTGTGACACATTTTTCTGTGTTGTTTGTGTCAGGTCTGCAGTCTTGCACTCCTCCGTCGTTCGAGGAAGCGACCACGGCATCAGTGGCCACAACTCTGTCCTCAAACACCTCCATATCTATCCCAGAACGCTCCCCGTCGGACACCGCAGAACACACACGCTACAGGTCCACACCTCTCCAACAATCACGGGATTTAATGTCATCACATGAGAACAAGAAACCACTAACACTGAAGCTTTATCTACAACGTTCAAATGCAGTTTAATTCGCCTTTGGCTAAGCCACACCCTAGAATGTAGATTGACCAATCACAGCGCAGCCAAGAACGAGCTCCCACAGAGGTCCGACACTTTTTCACAGCGCTCCATTGACTTTAACACAGGCGTCTCATATTTTTGATTATTACCGTCGTAGTTTTATCAAAAATATGGTTAAACGTTGTGCCTGGGGCATTTGTAACACAGATACGCGTTTCCCAGAGAGGTTGGAGCGGTGTGCGTTTTTTTCCCTTTTCTAAAACCGAAGTCAAATCCTGACAAGTGTCGTCTAGCACACGCTGCTAATAAATACAACGTTATACTCGCGTAGTCCGTTTGCTTTGTAATAACGATTATAGAAGTGAATAGAGACCTCCAGCTTTGCATGAACAGTGTTGCTCCTTGATATTGTGAGTCCCAGCCTCCGTCTCCATTAGTAGGATATGCGGTGGGTCATTTGTTGACTGTGACCGGTATGCTTTTGCCTCTGTTTGGATGCCTTGTTGTTCCTTGCGCTTCACCTGTATGTCGTGAATATAGCCTTCGAACGTATATTGCAGCCGCTTTTGCCTACTTCTATCGGACACTTTATTTGCTGCTTTATAAAAGTTTGATACAATTTCAGCAGGAAGAGCCGTCACAGCATAAGCCATGTTGATACCAGAGCCCAGATGAAGTTTGTTTGTCGGACGTAGCAACAGTAACTAAGGGGGGCGGGGCTTAGCCAAAGGCGAATTAGAGCTGTGCAACTATTAATCACATCCAAAATAAAAGTTTGTGTTTACATAATATACAGTCAAACCAAAAATTATTCAGACACCTGATGTAATTTTTACGAGTGGGTGCCGGACACTATAATTAATTTATGAGGATTGCAAGATGTCTGAATACATTTGGTTTGACTGTATGTGTGTGTACTGCTTCTAATTATTTTGTGTATATATAAATACACACACATGCATGTATATATTTAGTAAAAATGTGTTTCGCTCAAAATATTTATATTTATATATAATATAAATATATACAGCAAATATTTCTTAAATATATACATGCATGTGTGTGTATTTATATATATATATACAATATAATTATACACAGAACACACACATATTATGTAAACACACACTTTTATTTTGGATGTGATTAACCGTTGCACGGCCCTAATTATAATATTTGCAGATTTCTTGTTACATCCAATATTGGTTGTTTGAAATGTTTTTTTTAAATGCATTATACTTTCTAAAGGTGTGACAATGTACAGAGAAGTATTATAATGTATCAGAACTGTGGTTACAATTATTCATGAGATCATACAATGCATTATGAAGGTGCTTAATTAATGCATTAAAGTAAAGTGTTCTCACAACGACAAGCCTGCGTTGTTCTGAATATGAATGTTCATTGTCTCGACAGAAGACACACACTGTCTCTGAAAGATGGCGAGGGAAGGTGAGCTTCATTTGCATTGCTGTATGTGTGTGTTTAGTGTGCGTCTGGTTTAATCTGTGTGTTCCCGCAGGACTCATGAAGTGGTGGACGTGCACGAGGAAGAGCAGCAGACCATCACTGTGCAGGTGGAGGTGAAGAGAGAGAGTGAAGAGGAGGAGCCTGACGTCTCTCTGACACAGTATGTGCAAACATGACCTCATTACTCCACTAAACAGGGCAGAGCAGCGTGAGAGAGCAATAGTCCCATAGAAACGCCGGTCGGAGAAGTTCTGCGGCTGATCCGCTGACAGTGAGCAAAGTAAAAAACATACCCATAAGAAAATCATGTTTTGCAGTGTGGACGTGATTCATCTATATGATATGTTCATGATATTGTCATGATATTTTCAATTATTTGATTGAGTGGTTCGAGACCCAGGAAATTCATGAACCGAAAATTGTGTGTGTGTGTGTGAGTGAGTGAGTGAGTGTTTGTTTGTGTATGTGTGTGTGTGCGTGAGTGAGTGAGTGAGTGAGTGTTTGTGTGTGTGTGTGTGTGTGTGTGTGTGTGTGTGTGTGTGTGTGTGTGTGTGTGTGTGTGTGTGTGTGCGTGAGTGAGTGAGTTAGTGTGCTTTTGTTTTTGTGATATATGAGGACACAAATGTGTATAATGAAATGCATATTACACTGGTATTACAACTTACACGTGATATATGAGGACATTGCATGAGTCCTCATATTTCAAATAGCTTAAAAAACATAAAAAAACAATGTTTTTTTTTTAAATGTAAAAATGCAGCATGTCTCCTGTGATGGGCAGGTTTAGGGATAGGGGCAGTGTAGGGGGATAGAATATACAGTTTGTCCAGTATAAAAGTCATTACGCCTATGGAATGCTAGTGTGTGTGTGTGTGAGTGAGTGAGTGAGTGAGTGAGTGAGTGAGTGAGTGAGTGAGTGAGTGAGTGAGTGAGTGAGTGAGTGAGTGAGTGTGTGAGTGAGTGAGTGAGTGAGTGAGTGAGTGAGTGAGTATGTTTGTGTGTGCGTGAGCGTGCGTCCGTGAGTGAGTGAGTGTTTGTGTGTGTGTGTGTGCGTGCGTGCGTGAGTGAGTGTTTGTGTGTGTGCGTGCGTCCGTGAGTGAGTGAGTGTTTGTGTGTGCGTGTGCGTGCGTGAGTGAGTGTTTGTGTGTGTGCGTGCGTCCATGAGTGAGTTAGTGTGTGTGTGTGAGTGAGTGAGTGAGTGAGTGAGTGTGTGAGTGAGTGTGTGAGTGAGTAAATGAGTGAGTAAATGAGTGAGTAAATGAGTGAGTAAATGAGTGAGTGTGTGTGAGTGAAGACGTTTTGATTTGCTGGTTATTAGAGCCAGGGATTCACAAACCTTTTGTCAACAAACTCTTTAGAGGGTTTTTTTTTTTTTTTTTTTTTTTACAACACAATCACATGGACACAGTTCTCGATTAATAAAAAACAAAAAATTTAGTTTTAGCAAGCAATAACAACACTGGTGGATAAAATGAATAAAATCTTAAATTTTGAGCTGTCAAATCAATTAATCACACTGTATGCATATATATATATATATATATATATATATATATATATATCACTGTGTAGTGTATATGTATGTATATATATATATACAAACTTTTATGTTAGATGAGATTAATCGATTTGACAGCACTAAATAAAATTTCTTAAATTTTAAAATCTTGAAATTTATATAGTGAAAGTTACTAGTTATTCTCAGCTAAAATATATTAATATTATAGAACATGCTCTTAGTGAGTGCAGTCTCCGTGAAATGGTTTATTTTTTAAAATAATATTATTATTTAATCCATTTTTTTATGAATTGTTAGCTTTTCACCAAAACTTTTTTACATTTCACACCTATTATGCAACGAATTGATTCTCAATCATTTTTGACCGTATTTGCCCTCGTTTCCTTGGTTCAGTGCAGCACAGGAGATGGAGGCTCCTCCTGATGACCCTGTCCCAGAAACACCCGTTTCCCAGCAAACACTTCCAGGTGACACAGCAGATCCCCCGGAAACAGCCAGCGGGACCCTCAAAACATCTCGGGCCCCTGATCCAGCAGAACACACTGACCCAGCAGAACACACTGATCCAGCAGAACACACTGACCCAGCAGAACACACCCCTGATCCGCCCGGTCCCGGCCCGAACACACTGCGTCCCGACGGGGACAGGCTCCCAGAGACCCAGAGCCGGGAGTCTCTGGACGAAGAGGTCGCAGCAACCACTGACATCTACTTCGTAAGTGTGACATTAAAGGGCTGGTATAATGCCTTTTCACAAGATATAACATAAATCTCTGATGTCCCCTGAGTGTGTGTGTGAAGTTTTAGCTCAAAATACCCCACAGATACTTTTATATAGCATGTTAAAGTTGTCACTTTTTGAGGGTGAGCAAAACATGCCATTTGTGTCTGTCCCTTTAAATGCAAATGAGCTGCTGCTCCTGGCACAGGGGGCGGAGCTTCAAGAGCTTGTGTGTGTGTGTGTTAGCAGCTTATTACCTCACACACACATCATGACACATGCACTGAAAATTTCAAAAACGTTTAGCCTTTTTATGTTCAAACCGGAGTCAGAAAGATGGAGAGACTCGAGAAGAAGTGACAACATGTAGACAACATTTCTGAATGGTTAGTTGATGAATTTATGTCGCTTATGTGTGTCTATCTTCTAGTCATTGATTAGCATATTCTGTCTTGATAATCTATAAATCGTGTTCCGGGGGCGGAGTTTATGTAAATCTTAGTGTTTGTGATGTCACTAACCCGGGAGGAAGCTCGTGTAGTTCTACCAGCCGTTTGTTGTAGTCCTTTAAAAGCAAATATCTTCCTTTGGTTTGAACTTTGAGCGTCGTAACTTTGCAGATGTTGTTTATGCTCAAACAGCAACATTACACACTAACTAAAGTTAGAAAAGTGAAATCATAATCAACCACCCCTTTAAGTTCAGTTCAGTTTATTTCTAAAGCACATTTACTGACAGCAACATGGCTGACCAAAGTGCTGTCCGATATAAAATAAAAAGACCATAAGATAACAGATAAAAGGAAACCGAGAAGAACAAAACAAGACTTTACAATCAGGGTTTGAAATGAACTTTTTTACTCACCGGCCATTCAGAACTTAACAAATAATTAAACCAGATCAACTACGTCACAGCTTATACACTACCGTTCAAAAGTTTGGGGTCGGTACGATTTTAAAAACTTTTAAAAGAATTATCTTCTGCTAACCATGGCTGCGCTTATTTGATTAAAAATACAACAAAAATCAGTTATAGTATTAAATATTATTCCAGTGTAAATCAGCTGTTTTCTGTGTGAATATAGTAAAGTGTAATTTATTCCTGTGATCAAAGCTGAATTTTCAGCATCACCAGTGTCAGTATCTTCAGTGTCAAATGATCCTTCACAAATCAGTATAATATGAGGATTTGATGCTCAAGAAACATTTATTATTATTATCAATGTTGAAACAGTTGTTGGTCTGTCAGTTGTACAGTTTTTTTTTTTTTTTTAGGATTCTTTGATGAATAGGGTTAGAATCTTTTGTAACATTATAAATGTCTTTACTGTCACTTTCGATCAAATTAATTATTCCTTGATAAATAAAAGTATTGATTTCTTTCCTCCAAAAAATAAAAATAAAATTCTCACTGACCCCAAACTTTTGAACGGTAGTGTATATTATAAAATTCAAACAATCCTGTCATCCAGCATCTCCTCTCTTCCTCTGTCATCCTCATCCTTTTCCCCCCAAAAAAATGTATTTTAGGTGGACAGATCAATACAGTACAAAGAACATCAGAAACATGGATGTTGGAAAATAACAATGTTTTTCTGTTCACCAAATGCTTTTTAATATTCGCTATTACTTCAATGCAAGTGAACAAGCGCACCGTTATTTGTTGCTCAGTGACGTGTGTGTTCAAGTATGCCAGATAAATATAATAAGTAACACGTCAAATTGGCTCGTGATTTGACAGCGTTTCCCGCCACTGTTGATTTTACACGCATGAGTGTTCATTTCAAACCCTGATTACAATGTATTGAAAGCCAACGAAAAGAGATATGTTAGAAGCGGCCGTAACGCTGTTCTATAACGTGGATTAACTCTTTCTAAACTCCCATTAACACATCACTTTGCTGTCATTTTAGCATAATTTCATGTTGAACTTATGATTACTAATCTTACATACAGGCAGGGCCTAAAACTAACTGTTTGCCAATGGAAGGGGAATATACCAGACATAAATATTTTTTTACAAGGCATTTTTTCCAAAAACAGCCAGTTACGACACCAACATTTTAGATTCCAGTGATTCCAATTTCGATCACACAGCTAAAACACTGACATAAATAAAGCTAATTTACTGACATTGAATAAAGTAATCAAATGCTAAATAACACTGGATAGTCATAAATGTATAAATTAAAGTTTCAAAAGTTATTCATTAGTTTGATTATCATTTTTGACACAGACAGCAACGAGTTTATTACGCTACTGTCACTTTAAGAGTGAATGCACTGATCCAATATACTGATACACACGTTTTCTTTCGGGACTGTCCGTTCTCTCATAGCAATAACCGACAATTTTTACTTGGAAATTCGCATTTTCTGACATAATTTTGTGTGAATTTGTCCGATCAAGTGCAAGAAGGCATGAAAGAGCGTATTTGTACACTTTGGAGGTGTGCACACTCAAAAACTTCTATTTAAAACTTCTATAAAAATGTCTATTTTGCGTATATATGGTTTTTTTTACTTGTTGTTCATCAAATAATTCTATTTTATATTATATCAACTTTACGCCAATAATGTTTTTAATAATTTTAGTTTTAGTTAGCAATAACAACCCTGGTGGATAATCTTAGATTTAGAGCTGTCAAATCGATTAATAACGATTAATCACATCTTACATAAAAGTTTGTAAATATATAATATGTGTGTGTATGTATTGTGTGTGTATATATATATACACAGACACACACACACACACACATATATATTTACAAACTTTTATGTTAGATGAGATTAATCGATTTGACAGCTCTAAATAAAATATCTTAACTATTAAAATCTTGAAATTTATATAGCGAAAGTTCATATCAATATAATATTTTAAATTATAGAACCTGCTCTTAGTGAGTGCAGTCTCTGTGAAATGATTTAGTAATAATATTATTTCATCCAATCACAAGAACAGAATATCTAGGACATGCATTGGTCAAAAGGATTGGAAACCTGTGTTTACTGTCAATACAGAATATTTGAAACGCTTTTATTAAATATGCATCTGGTTGTGGTGGCGTTATGATTGTAGATCATGTTTCACAGATGGCCAGTCTGGATGATGTAGTGGAGTTATGAAGGTAACATGCATGTGGAAAACTGTCACAGTCTCTCTCCTTTATCATTAGGGCTTAAACGCTTTCAGGTGAAACTGCTATTCTGATGAAGGATATTAATATTAATTTTCAGACTGTGTCCTAAACACATGACGAGCGGTTTGACCTGATTCCATCGCTTGTCACGCCTGGTTAGGACACAGCGTCAGTGTGTTGTGGAAATGTTTTGGTGGCGTGAGGGTTTTAGCATGAGACACACAATGTGAGTGTGTGTGTGTGTGTGTGTGTGTGTGTGTGTCACACACTCATTCTCCTCATATGCGCCAACTCTCTCTCTTTCTCTCTCATAATCTCATTCTGTCGATTCCTCTCTGTCACGGATAATCGCCTCTCTAATTTCTTTTTT